AAAATAATACTATTTTAAAAATTAAAATTAATAAGTAAATTGAAGAATTTATTTTTAAGAAGTGTCATGTACTAAAATAGATTGAGGTTGTGGATAATTAAGAAGTGATTAAGGTCAAACTATAAATTATTAGGGTTACATAATTTTTTTTTGTAAATAATAACTTATAATCTTTAAAAATATGAATATGTAGATTAAATTTAATTTATTAATAATAAATAATAAATATTTTATTATTAATTAATTAATAATTATAATTATTAATTATTTGTATTAATTAAACTAAACAAAATTATCATTTTAAAAGAAAATTTTATAATCATTATATAATTTTAATACTTTATTATGTGATTATAATTCTTCTCATATAAGTAAGTCTAAAGTTAAATTGCTATTTAATTATGATCACATAATATTTATTAAGATTACAAAAATTTTGTTTAATTTTTAAAGTCTTTTATCAATTTTTATTTTTATATAATTAATTATAATATCAAAAGTATTAATTATAATTTTAATAATAAATATTTAAGAATAATATTATATAATCTTTACAAAGTAATTAATGTATAATATAATTACGCCGGTTAAATTTGAAAAAGTTTAAAAAAAAAAAAAAACTTCACGTGAACTTCGCCTGTTTGCCACATGTCGTAATCTAAGAAGGGTCCACCACCCGCTTTGGTGAACGTGAACCGTACGAGATGGTTGTCTTGTCGCGTCCACATCGTGGAGTTTTCCATCCATCTTTCACAGTATTTATCTAATTTTGAATTTTTTTTTAATTTGTGTACGAATAATTAAATTTTTTATTAGTATTAATTTATGTTAAAAAATATAAAAAATTATTTTTAATTATTTTTAATATTTTAACTTGGGTGGGTTAAGTACACATTCTTAATGACTAAAGCCAAGTATTCTTAATTTAATTGGTCATTGTTATGGTAATAAAACACAAATTTTTGTATATTACTATATCTTTTAGGGTCTTTTTATTTTTTTGAACTTATTTTAGGGTCTATTTATAATACTTTTTGTTTGGGTAGTTTCGTGATTCAACACTATTGATATTTTTAGCTACTTCCACACTTGAAATTCTCGAGGATGTTTCATCGGGAAAAACATTCCAACACTCAAGTCAACAATACTTGATATTTTAGAGAGAGATGTTCTCAAAGAATAATCACTGAGAGAGAAGCGTAGAAGTTAATTATTTTCATCGGAGGTAGTTGGGGGATATTTATAACCCCAAATGCTGACATATGTCTGAACATATAAGCATCCCATTGGCCCATGTGGCGTTGCCCACGTGGGTACACTTGTATTTGTTGTACTGGTGGGCGGCAGTCTAGGCCCATTATGTATAGCCCAAGTTGAATGTTGGGCCTATTCCAACATTACTCCCCCCTCAGTGTTCGGTTGACGAACTGAGTTGAATGTGTCTGTGGCCCATTATTCGAGCTGGTGAATAGGATTGATAGCCTTTGTAGCTCCTGATCGACCTTGTTAACGACCGATCTGAAGGGTAGCACTGGGTACATACCCTAATGGGAAGGTTCGATCAGACGGCAGTTGTGCGATCTGTGCTTCAGGTGACTCCACAAGGTTTATACAAGCAAGATGAGCTCATAAGCCTGAATGCGCACAGGCGAGCTGATATCCATAAGCTCGTTACCGTGAACTCGGTATACCAGCGAGCTGAAGAGGCTCGTAAAAGGTAAGCTCGCCTAGTGAACAGCCATGTTAAATGATAGTGTATTCTGGCAGGATATGTTCTTAAATTTAAAGTGTTACTCGCTATTTTAATGAACTCGTCTACATTGACACAAGTGCGAGCGAACGCATGATGACTTGAATCCTTATTATTGTCGAAGGTCCTGAAGTAACTTAGTGGAGTCGCCACGTGAACATGGGGACTAGTTGAGATGAAACAATCTCAACCACAGAACGATTTGAGATCTCTGACTAAACATGGTGACGCAACCAAGCTACAATAAATGACTTCAACCCGTCGAAGCAAAATGAATCTCGTCTGTGCAACGAGGTTAAGTAGAGTGATCTCAAACATTTTACAATCTGGGATCTCTAACGAGATATCACTCCTATGACGATCTGATAAATGTGGTCACTGTGACGAGCTGGCACGAACGGGACAAGGAACAGATCAACCTGTCACGATCTGAATCTTGGGATTTTTCTGAATGAATCAAATCTCTAAAGAGATACGATTGATATCCCGTATCTCTCTGCCTTCCCTGCCATAAATGTTGGCTCAGCATTTGAGGGGACATGATAGCTAAAGCTGGCGAACGTTATACGAAAAGGGTTAAACGTTTGCCACATGTGGGATGCTAACTAGCGTGTTAGAGACGCGTATGGCAATTAACGCTTCAATTGCTGTTTCAGAAAATGGAAAAGGAAGCGGTTATACCATTTTCTATTTCATTTTTTGTTTGAACTTGCTGATATTCTCTGTAGCGAAGCGTTTGCAGCTTGAAAAACATAACACTAGACCGTAAACACAGAAACGTAGACATCAATCTTAGGTAAAAATGGACTTCTTTAGAGAACTTAGAGAGCTGCGAGGTAACCAGGGTAGAGAAGAAGAGGAGGGGGTTATTTCTGCAGAGCCCATTGCGATGATAGTGCTGCCGGCCCTGCAAGACTTGCAGGAAAGGATAACGCCTGAGAGTAGTGCCAGTTCAAGCGTCGGAGACGACGGTGGCGACCACCACGCTTCACCATCCAACAATTCGTCCTCTAAACAGACACCTAGCCATAGGGAAGACACGAGGGATGTTGTTGGCAATGTACTAGATCTGCTCGTGGTTGGGGAGTGGGAAAGCAAGATAATCACGGGTAGGTTGAGCAACCTTCGTAAGGAGCCTAAAGACCTGCCTTCTGGATTTAGGTTCAGGGCGGTACTTCATCACGAAGTGACAGACAACGTGCCCTCAATAAGCGGGTATAAGAAACTTGAGGAGATGGTGAGGTCATACCAAATCCCTAGAACAATATTGCTTCAAGCTAGCACACAAAACGAGAGGGCTTGCATGGTGTCATAGACGGGCTGGATACTAGTATGCGTGGATCACTTTGATGCCAGCCTACGTTTTCCCCTGCCCAGCCTAATATTTGATCTCTTGGTGGATTACGAGCTGGCTCTGACGCAGCTGACACCCAACAACATAAGGTTCATCATAGGTTTTATGCTGCTATGTGAGAGGTTGGAGATACCTGCTAAGGCGATAGTGTTTAGGTCGTTATTCCAATGTCGGTTGTGTCCTAACTCCAGAGGCGCAAAGTGGTACTACCTCTTTGGGAGGGAGAAGAACCAGCTCTTTAAGAATGTTAGGAATAAAGTGGCAAGGTGGAAGAGGCAGTTCGTTTTTGTTCATCATATGCGAACCGAAAGGATAAATAATGACCTTGCTACTCGACTCTCTAAATGCTGTGTACCGAACACACATGCAAACTACCCCCAACTGTTGCCTCGGGACACAGATCTAAAGAATCAGCTGCTAGATTATGCGAGGGGGGAGCAACTAATAAACTTAGAAGCCCTGGTTACCTTGGAGCAGCTCGCCGTGTTTGGGTTTGTCAACGTGGCAAACTAGTTCACTAAAGGTATAATTTTATTATATACTACGAATTCTAGCCGATTTGAGTCTTATTACATTTGTTTATGCAGAGGAAATGAGCAGCATACTTGAGAGGCAACGCCAACGAGCGCAAAGCTTGCGAGGTTATGCAGTGGACTCCGGTTCGTAGAGACAAACACGGTTTGACGAGTGGCCGCCACCAGCACTGCAATCTCGCAGCTCGTCACATCGTGGATCCAGCTCGGCATCTAGGCCCCGCACCGAGCACAGAGTTGAAGCCGCGGCCCTTAGTGCACGCAGGCGCCTACGTGAGGATACCGATAGTGAAGATGAGATCCCCTTCATCAAGCACAGAATGAGTTTGGGGGGTCAGCCTGCCCAGGCGGTTCAATTTGCAGTGGTGCGCTAGCCGAATGTGCCATCTGCTGCGGCACGTGTAGTAGTTAAGCCCACGCCTGCATCGACTTTGGTATCGACACCCAGGATTGCATATCTTAAGGGCTTCAGCTACGTGAAGACCGACTACCAGCCCGTCATGGTGCAAGGCATGCAAAGTTTTGTGCCTCCTGTGGATCGACAACGGGCCAAGGGCAATGTACAGTAGCATGGCGGGCAAGTGGCCATGATCAAACTGATGGACGTAAGTATTTCTCCGCACTTGCATGATTATTTTGCTATTTCAGATGAGAGACTAACAGTTAATGATGTCCAGTAGGCGTTTAGCTACGCGATTGCTCTGTTTGAGAGCGAACAGGGAGCTTGCGCTCAAAACAGCGAGCTTAGTGCCAACTGCAAACAGCTGGCCGCTGAGAAGGCGAGCTTAATGGACGACATCAATCGTTTGTAAGGCTCTGAAATGGCCACCCGAGCTGCATCGGCCAAAAGTCGAGTGGAGGAGCTAACAAGCAGGAATAATGAGCTCAAGGAGGAGCTGGAGTGGGTCCAAGATGAGAAGGAAAGTGGGATTTAGGTAGCTAAGGATGAGGCCGCCCGTGAGGAACGGGCCAAGAAGGCTGAAGCCGAGAGGAACAATGCTCTGAACGAGCTGAGTTCCTTCAAGCAACAAGTTGCCAAGGCTTCTTAGAACCTTGCTCAGGTAAGATGCTTTGAACAAAGCAAAGAAATCTCATGAGCGCTCAGTAAGCATCACTCGTGCTCAAGGGGCTGAGTGGCTGGTGGGCTCGGCCACATTCCAAGACACTGTGGCTGTGGCGTTTGCGAACATGACAACAAAAATCTACAATGAGATCTTTGGGAAGGTGCTGCAACATCGTCCTGACTTCCCGATACACGAGCTGGCGTTCGTTAATGGGGAAGATCTTGACGAGGAGGGTAAGAGCCTTGCTCCCCTTGTTGATACAACTATGCGGTTAAGATGGGAGCTCAACGAGGAGGGAGTACCTATCTGGCCTTCCTCAATCCTAGAAGAAGGGGAGGATCCAGAGGGCCTACCCTCCTTTGACTCATGGGTTGAAGGGGCTCTTGTGGTTGAGCCAGAGCCATTGAGCACACCTCCGAGCGCTCAGCCTGCCGTGATGCAAGCAGGGTCTCCTGTTACTGCACCAGCTCACCCTCCTGCAGCCCAGTCATCTCCAACTCGCGCCTCAGACCTTCCTGTTGACTCGTCCATGCCCGTCGATCTGACGGATGATTAGTTTAGGACTATACTTTTTCTTTTCTTTTGTATTTTTTGTTTTTTGTTTGAACAACTTTATCATGATCTCCTGTATTAAAATTTGTCATTTTTGAACAGAAATAGAAAGTTGGAGATTTTATCGAACCGTTTCCTCTTTATTGCATTGTGTGTATACTTTACATTTTCTCGAGCATATTTCTCACTAACATGTACATTAACTGTAATATCTCTTGAGATTATATACATTCCAAATGAATGACAACTGGCATCCTTGCATGTCTGCTAACACATAAGATCCAGGTCGCTTAACTTGAACAACCATATATGGACTTTCCCAATTAGAAGCGAGCTTGCCCATGTGCAAATAAGCATTGGTTAATCTAGCTTTGCGTAAAACCAGATCGCCAACCTGAAACTGATGAGCTCAGACTCTCTTATTATAAAATCTAGCAACACGACTTTGATATGCCATGTTTTTTATTCGAGACATCTCCCTAACCGCTTCTACAAGGTCTAGGTTCTTTCTTAAAAGTTGCTCATTATTAGGATCATTGTGCCGATCTAATCTGTCAGATGGCAATCTAACCTCTATAGGGATAATGGCCTTAGCTCCATAGGCGAGGCTGAATTGGGTTTCGCCTGTGGTCGAGCTGGGTGTAGTGCGACATGACCAAAGCACTTTATTGAGCTTGTTAACCCAATTAGAGTGTGTGGCTAAAACACGCGCCTTGAGGCCTCGCAAGACGATTTTATTGGCGAACTCGTCTTGCCCATTGGATTGTGGAGTATATACAGATGTCAAGGCAAGCTCAATGCCATAGTCATTGCAGAACAACCTGAGTGCTACGACTCGGAATTGTGGACCATTGTCAGCAGTGATCCATTTAGGTATGCCAAACCTGCACACGGATGACCAAGTTAAGCCACAAATTACGTTTGTATACAATGTACAAATGGCTTAAGCCACCAAAGAGTACCTACATAATATCAAGTTGAACAGGAATTCCTTTATTTTTTTCTCTGTTGTCGTGGATAATGATTTGGCTTCTATCCATTTGGTGAAGTAATCCATTGCGACAACTAGGTATGTGCAACCTCCTTTGCCTTTGACAAAAGGATCGAGCAGATCAACTCCCCATTGAGCAAAAGGCCAGGGTGATGAGAGTGATGATAGCATTTCTCTTGCTTTAACGGAGATATTTATGTTTAGTTTATAGACAACGTGAAGTTTGCATGAACTTTAGAACGAGCTCAGATACCTAGCGTGTGAATGTCATCAGCATTGAACTGGCAGGTCAGGCACCTTTTGACATAACTCTGTGCGTCCTTGATCATAGTAGGCCAGTAATACCCATGTCTCAGGAGTTTCTGAGCCAATGTTTTACCGCCTATATGTGTGCCACATACTCCTTCATGAACTTCCTTTACAGCGTATTCAGCTTCATAAGGAGTAAGGCAACGTAGTAGGGGCATTGAGGCTACTCGCTTGTAAAGCTAATTATCTATCAGGGTGAAGTGTGTCATCCTACGTTTAACCAACTTCGAGGTGGATGGATCTTCAGGCAGCTCACCACTTCACAAATACTTAATGAGGGGTGTAGTCCAGCTCAACGAAGAGGGATCTATGCTTAGCAAATGACACTTGATTGTGAAGTCGGTGTAGCTCGGTGCATCAAGTATCTCCACAATTGTTGATATCTGAGGATTGATATCTTGCGAGGAAGCTAATTTTGATAATTTTGATAGCTTGTCAGCTCGTTGGTTATCTGCTCTAGGTATCTTGTCGATTTAGAAATAGACAAATCTCGATTTCAATCTATTGACTACAGAAGCATAACGACTAAGCTGAGGATCCCTGATTTCGCAGCTCCTGTTCACTTGGCCCACAATGAGCTGAGAATTGTTGAAAATCCTTATGCTGTGAACTTTCAACTCGGACGCTAGCTTCAAACCATAAATGAGGGCTTCATACTCTGTAGCATTATTTGTTGTTTGAAACTTGAACCTTAATGCGTGCTTGGATTTAAAGCCATTTGGGCCCACTAGCACTGCCCCAGCACCCGATCTATCAATATTAGCAGCTCCATCTACATATAAAACCCAGACTGGGTATATGGACGCCCTTTCTTCTACAGTCGTTGAAAGGCATTCCACTAGGAAGTCCGCCATAGCCTGCCCTTTAATGGTTGTGTGCGGCTGAAATTTGAGGTCGTACTCGCTCAGCTTGACAGCCCACCCAATAAGCCGACCAGAGAGTTTGGACTTCTGCAGTATCTTCCTGAACAGTAGATCTGTATAGATAACAATTTTGTGTGACTGAAAGTAAGCTCTCAACTTGCGAACCGTGTAAACAAGGGTAAAAGCAGCTTTTTCTGCTAGTGGGTAGTTCTGCTCCGCGCCTTATAAAACCTTACTCACGTAGCAGATGGGCTTCTGATGTTTATTTTGTTCTCTTAGCAAAACCAAGCTCATGGCCTTCTCTGTAACTCCCAAATACAAGTATAAACTTTCCCCCTCCATAGGCTTGGAAAGCAGGGGTGCTGACGGCAGATATTGTTTGAGCTCGTCAAACGTCCGTTGACATTCGCCGGTCCACTGAAAATTCCTGGGCTCTCTCAAGGCTTTAAAAAATGGGAGGCATCTTTCTGCCAACTTGGCTATGAACCTGTGTAACACAGCAACATGACCTGTCAGACACTACACATCTTTTATGGTCTTGGGAGGCTCCATCTGCTGAATAGCCTGAACCTTCTCTGGATTTACCTCAATTCCCTTCTTGGATACCACATACCCTAGGAATTTTCCTGATTCTACAGCAAATGTGCATTTTAGGGGATTCAACTTCATTTGGGCTCGGCGCAAGTTCTGAAATGTTTCATTCAGGTCGTCTATATGATCTTCAGCTCGCTTACTGGTAACTATCATGTCATCCACATATACTTCAATGTTCCTACCGATCTGGAGCTTAAAGATGACCTGCACCAGCTTTTGATATGTCGCGTCAGCATTTTTCAAGCCAAATGGCATCATGACATATTAGTAGATTGCGTCACCAGCATAGAAAGCCGTTTTCTCTTGGTCATCCAACAGCAACTAAACCCGGTGATAACCTGAGCTGGCATCAAGGAAACTCATGCGTTCGTGTCCGGCTGCTCGCTCTACCAACTTCTCAACATTTAGCAAGGGGTGAAGGTCTTTTGGACACGCTTCATTTAAGTTGGTGAAATCAATACACATTCTCCACTTGCCGTTTGGTTTCTTGACGAGCATAGGGTTCGACACCCACTCAGAGTATTCAACTCTCCTGATGAAGCTTGCCTGTAATAGCTTTTGTATTTCTTCATCTATAGCAACTTGTTTCTCAAGACCAAAAAGGCGACGTTTTTGAACCACTGGCCTTTTGGTGGGGTCCATGCTGAGCTTGTGAACTGCCAACTTTGTTGGAATGCCAAGCATTTCATCTGTTGTCCATGCAAACACATCTTGATTAACCTTTAAAAACTCTAAAAGCTCTGCTCATTCTTCCGTCGTGAGCTTTGTGCCAACCTTAACTGTTCTTTCTAGCATGTCAGGGTTTAAAGGGACTGTTGCCACTGGTTCTACTGGCTCAACCTTCTGCTCGACACCTTCAGGTCGGTGCTTAATATCCGATATGCTCATTATTTGCTGACCGAGCTGGGTCGGCCTGTGAATTTCAAAAGAGCCTACTGGGGTTGCAGCGAGCTCAACCTTCTTGAATGTATTTTGATAGTAGGCTCTGGCCATCTTTTAGTTCCCCTTAAGCACTCCTATTCCCTGAGGAGTTGGGAACTTCATACAGAGATGAGGTTGCGAGATGACAGCCTTCAGCTTGCAGAGGGCGACTCTTTCTAGTATGGCATTGAAAGCTGATTCCATTTTGACGACCAGAAAGCTAACTAAAGCCATCTTGTAGCATGGTTCCGAACCCACATAGATGAGAAGAGTAATTACTCCTTCAACCGGGACAGGTTGATTATCAAACCCATATATGGGCCCTTCATACTTTTGCAGTGAGCTCGGATTCAGCTGCATCTTCTGAAAGCAGCTCCAATACAGGATATTTGGTGAACTACTAGTATCGATAAAGACCTTGTTGACGTTATGATTGCCTATATGGACCGTTTCCACAAAAAGATCTACATGAGGCATCATAACGTCAGGCTCTCTTTCCACTCGCTTATAATCTGTTGAGCTGAATGTAATGGGTGCGTTCTCCCATTCCGCCTCCTCGAATGGCCGCTTCAAGGGCCTATTCTTGTTAATGGTCATCACCTAACCGGCATACGCCCTGCGGCCCCAAGAGCTTTGGCCTCCTAAGTGTATACCACCCAAGATCATGTTTATTGTGCCAGAGGGTAGGGGTATCCCAGCATAGCCTACCCATTTCCTATCTTTTTGGTTTTGAGTGGCATCTCTTTGTCCTTGGCCTCGCCTATTGAACTGGCGTCCCCTGTACGCTCTGCTCTGTTTGGAAGATATTGGTTATCCTGATACATGTCTTGGCTGTTGCCGAGCTGATACCTTTGCCCTTGATGTCAGTCATACCCCTGCACAAAGTGAGTTTGAGTTGGCTGCTGGGCATAAGGTTTCTGGACATATCCTTCTAATTTCCCATTGTGAACTAAGAATTCCAGCTTGTCTTTCAAGTGTTGATAGTCTTCTGTATTGTGACCGTATGCACGATGGTAGTCACATGTTTACTCTTGTTTGCTCTTGGGAAATCATGCAATGGGGGAAGTGGTCTCCTGATCTAGTGTTGGATTTATGCCAAGATTTGAGACCTCAGCAAGGTCAAAGGAATGTAGTTGGCATATTTTGGGAAGTTGGATGGCTTTCCCCACTCTTTGTTAACTTTCTATTTTTTCCTTTCTTCTCTTTGCTGTGGTTGTTCATGGCTTTTGCCTTATCTATCATCGGCTTGTCACTTGGACGATTGGAAATCTTCTGATAGTATGAAGCTAGCCGACGTGTCATTTACTTCGTTCCACGTCTTTGGTGGGTTTTCTAGTAGGTCATCTAGGAACCAACCGCGCTTCAAACCATGCAGCAAGGTAGATAAGCAAATAATATCAGGGACATTATCAATGTCTAAAGTGGCCTTGTTAAATCATTGCATGTAATCCCTCAGAGATTCCCCTTCTTTTTGATGAACCTGCATCAGTTCAATTGTTGTGCGTTTAATCTCTCTTTGGCTCACAAATTTGTTAGAGAATAACTTGGCGAGTTGGGAGAAGGAATCTATAGTGTCTAAGGAGTTTATGATACCACCTTCTGGTCATTGACTTCAGTGTCGCTGGAGACACTTTGCATATCATGGCGTCGTTGGCATTTTGGATTCTCATGATAGCTTGATAGGTATACAGATGCTCATCTGGGTGGCCCGAGCCATCGTATGTCTCTAGTTGGGGGATTTTGAATCCCTCTTGATACAGTTCCGCTGTGATGGATAGGTTGAGTGAGGCACTATCCAAGTCAAGGGTCTGTTGGTGCGACCTGGGGCTTTTCAGCTCATCAATGGATTTATGTACATCCTGTAGCTGCCTTTCGAGATTAGCATTCTTTCTCATCAGTTCTTTACTATGTTTGGATGAATTAGGCTCGTTATTTAACTTCCCACTTCCCCTTGGTTTGGTCGGCACTACTATATTGCTTAGAGCGAGAGAGTTGCGAGTGGCAACTACTACAGTTGGTTGCGCATCCCTATTCAGCAAAGGAATTAGGGGGTCATCAGGGATCAAACGGGTAAGGATTTTACCCATTGCCATTTCGAGAACTCTGGTTCTCTCTTCGAGCTCGGTTCTCCGAGCAAGCTCTGTTGACCTTTCAGGTCATTCATGTTGTGAATTGCCTTGTCTGGGATGCCTTCGTCTCGTTCCTGTTGGAATTTGGAATTGTTCAAGCTGAGTTGCATACCTAGTTGGTGTTCTCTCATCATCTATTTCACTTAGTTGTTCCTGTTCTGCTCCTCCAATGAAAAGGTTTCTCGGCATTGGCCTAAGTTCATTCATGTCAAGCTCAGATAGCTGAGTGTCCTCCTGCTCATCCATTTCGTTTCTCGGAGGATGACTCCCGGTAAAGGTGCAAACCATTTTATCCTTCAGCTAGTTAAGCTACACAACTTCTTATTCAAGTTCCCACAAACGGCGCCAAATGTTTGGGCAGCTTCGTGATCCAACACTGTTGATATCTTCAGCTACTTTCACACCTGAAATTCCCGAGGATGTTTCCTCGGGGAAAACGCTTTGACGTTCAAGTCAACAATACTCGATATTCTAGAGAGAGATGCTCTCAAAGAATAATTACAGAAAGAGAGGCGTAGAAGTTAATTACCTTCATCAGAGGTAGTTGGGGGATATTTATAGCCCCAAATGCTGAAATGTGTCTGAACATGTAAGCATCCCATTAGCCCACGTGGCATTGCCCATATGGGTACGCTTGTATTTGTTGTATTGGTGCTCCCTCACTTTGGGCCAATGGGCGGCAGTTTAGGCCCACTATGTATAGCCGAAGTTGAATGATGGGCCTATTCCAACACTTTTGTTTTTAATTTTTAATTTATATATCTAGTAATTAGTATCATATTTAAATTAAATATAATAAGAAATTTGTGTAAAACATATTATTTTTTTTATTTTTTTTAGATTTTGTCTAAAAATTTATTTTTTTAATTAA